TTTTCGGGATTAGTAAGATGAAAATTTCAAGTAATTAACTCGAAAAATTTTCCGAGTTAAGTAAGCGAAATTTCGATATGTAAGTCGAAATTTCGAGTAAATAACTCGAAAATTTCCGAGGTATAAAAAACATACCTGGCCCTAATGTCCTTCCGTGGTATATATAATGAAGTTTATAATAATCTTTAGAAAATGCATTTGCTTGTCATGGTTGCTTTGTTTTGAACCGTCCAACGATACATGACGAGGATATTGCGTTGCTGTGTCAAAAACTCTTATGCAAGGCCTGTAATATGTAAAATCTTTATGAAAGCCTCGCGCATACTTTTTCCCCATTTTATAACTAGGATTTGTTTTTGACGTTTGGTCCATTCAATATACTTGTTTTTACTTTCGACCGCAGAGTGAGGATCGACCTACAGCGGTGAGGGACCGTGTGATCTCAAGTCAGGCGACCTTAACCACTCGGACACGGAGGCCCCTACATATATACATAGTGGAAACGGGTCGTTGCATCGGATTTTACAAAAATTATCACTCAGCACTCGTGAATTTAGTAACCATACTGGACTATTTTGAAAAGCTTACTTATTAATTAAAAACCAATCTAAACAACTGCTAATTGTTGAGCTAAGTCGAATTTAGCAAAGTTAAATTGAGCGTTTAATAATTGGCTTAAGGTTCTTGCCTGTTGAATTTAATTTGGAAGTGGCCTTTTTATTTAAAGGGTTTATGCTTTGGATTTTAATATAAAGTCTAAAAACACGATGTGAAAAAACTATCGTTTTGCACCAGGATTAGACTATGTTATGTATCGCGTTACCTGATAGGCCGAAGGTAAGAACCTGATTTATGCCTCATGTAATGCGAATCATTTATCATTTTCAAAACTGTTTATTTTTTTGACATATAGTGTTGTTTGTGTCAGGTAGCTAAGATAAGAGATCTCCATCTCAGATTGCTATAACTCTGATCACTCACATACACTTACACTACGCTGTATGAAGATTCTACACTGCACCTGTTTGTTCAGTTGTGTGAAGTTGCAGCTAACTTTGCTGTAACCGTAATCACTATATCTCTAAAATTAATGTAAATTACCACGTTCTGGCATTCTCACTAGAGATTAACAAAAATTATGGCCTTATCTGAGCAAAAAGTTATCGCTTTAACAGTTTTATAAATATCGTTATCTTTTCAGTTAGCAATCAAAGTTACTAAAACTTGCACGGTGCAATACGCATTTACAATTAACAACATTTGAAATTCGCTTCACTTTCCATCAATATCCATAGCGATTATAGCAACTGACATTTGAAGATTCGATACCACTTTCTACTCATAATTCCAAGTGATTTTTGATTCACGTCACTTTCTAGCCCATAATTCAATGCATTATGAATTCGGTTTTACTTTCTATTATATTTAAGTTAAGTGACAATTTAAATTGAAATGCATGAGGCGCTCTCCTAAATGAAATCCGTTGACGATTTCAAATAACATGTTGAACTAGAACTGGGAGACGGATCAAATATTTTGTTGAAAATTACAGGCTAGTGAAACATAGATAAGAAAAATAATAGCGATACATTCTACTGTAAATATATAGGCTGATAGGTTGTTCCCATTAAAAATGAAAAATGAACACTTTTGTGGCTGGTATGAATTAACAAAACGACGTTGAATAAAATAGAACTTTGTTTGTAGACTAAAAAGTCACCCTCGGAGTAATTTTTCAGAATTTAGTGTCTCTAAAGTGTTTACTTTTTCTTTCTTTCTGCTAGCCAGGCAAAGTCTGTTGTTTGACTTTGCGCGTAGGCCTTTGCCAGATAGTACTCGATTCTTCGGGTATTGAAGATGAACGGGAGAAAGCACGTGTCATGTTTCTTAAAATTAATGAATGTTCTCGGAGGTCGTTTTCATGAATTATTTTCAAAGCTGGAATCAGTTTTTCATTGCAATTCAATTGAAAAAAGAGAATAATAGCAACAAGAACATGAGTCACCATGGAGTAGGTCTAGAAATTCACTTACTTTTTAAGATTGAATAGAATCCCTATGATTCGAAATAGTCCTTTAAACAACGTCACAACAATTCGCAATTATTGTAGTTAATTCATTAAATCATACGGGCTTTTATATTTAATAAAAGTATATGCTTAAATTAATATTTGGTCTGAACTCTAATCTACAATAAATTGCATTTTTTTTTTATATTATTGAAAGCTTCTTTTGCGTTATTTTACGAATCAGGACTCAACAGTTAAACAATTATATATCTTATGTCAAAGGTTACTTTAACCCAAAAGATTCGGGAAATACTATTCCAAAAAATGTTGAAAATTCCACAAAACACGTTAACTGACTGAATGATATGTTGTATTTTGCTCGAAATTTTGCGAAAATTTTCCTCAGCAAATGCTAACGTACTATAATATGCGATAATTCAGGCCTAGATTGAGGATTTACTTTGTCAACTCCCCGGTTGGAAATTGCGATTTATGGGTAAATCGATGCCTTGCGGTTTCAAACTAAAGCTAGAAGTGATGTATGAGTGCGCACCGAGTGTTAAAATAACCAATAGAGATTCATCTTCAACACTATCTAAATTTTTCACGTTTTAAATGTTAAGGCATGGAATAATTCTTGGCGGCAATAACATGCTATACGATTACATTTTACCAAATAAAGTGACCACTTGTGACTTACATCTGGAAAGAATTACAGAGTCGACCACTTGTATACTGTCACTACAAGGTGACCCGTTGACACGTTTGCATCACGGCAATTCCATTAGGGACATGCCTTTGATAAACCATGAAATCACGCAAGGTACGATAATACGATGAAATTAAATGCAATTTTTGGGGTTTCGTCAATTTACTTTCTAAATCGTATTTTTTGTTATTTACACAGCTACTTGACTATGCTACTGTACGTACTAATACAAACAACAGCAACAAGCAACACAAACAAGTGTCATTTCAAATGACTTTAATAACCAAAGCTATAGTTCGCATGTATATAACTAGTGTATCATAGGTTTGGAGACCTTTCTGGTTTGAAAATTGTGTCAGGGTTAAATCGATCATATACATGCACAGTTGCGTTAATGGAGTGCGGGTATTAGTTACCCCGAAACTCCAGAGCATGCCCAATTGATTGGCTCATTTTTTGAAATATATATATATATAGCAGAGAAAGGGAAAAGCCTCTGTTTCGTGGCTCGCTTTCTATACTTATAGCCGATGTAATTTATTTATTTTTTGAGCGGTTTAGATTATCTAGTGGCAACCATGGCCGGTGCGCTGCCCTTCTAGTGGCCAGACTTCATATCATTTTCTTCTTTGTTTTTTTCCTCTTAATTTAATGACTTGGATGGACCTTTTTATGTAGGAATAATAAACTGTTTCCTTTCAAAGAGAAATTTGTTGTCAATGTTGCATCCATTGCATCTCTTAATCCTCTAAAATTTGACATGGCCCTTTATATGCTAGTCGAAGCGACTAATATCAGGTACAATCGTAGAATCCTCAAGGCCTCCTAAGACCACCGCCGAATTAAAGACACCTGCTATTAAGACCAGTTTTTAAGGAACGGAATTTTCTGTTCTTTATATCAATGGTTAACATGAATCCAGAATTAGGACCACCCCGCTTTATCCACTTTTAAAGAACCCACCAGAGTTCACGTCCCAAAATTCATTGATATTATCCTTAATTTGACCCCAAACGTATTGAAGACAACTGATACCTAGCCGCTAGATCTTGAAATTGTCTGTTGCTCGAATTGATCTGCATTCGAATGCAACTGTAGAGGCATTCGAACTTGAATTTACAAGGTGTGGAGAAAATGGTTGTTGTGGTTATTGCGTCATTGAAAATAAGGTGAGTAAAGATAAATTTTAGAGTGGTTTAATGTTGCTTTTCAGCAAATTTATTTTGTGAAGAATTAATCTTTCTTATTTTATAGGTGAACTATGTACATTATATAATAATAATATTGAAAATCAGACAAAAAGAGAATTTAATCGTTAAAATTTCTTCAGAAATATATGCTATGATAAGAAAGAGCACCGAAAACACGAGGGACTATCTGATTTGTAAGCGAGGGGGCGTAGCCCCCGAGTATAAATCAGATTGCCGAGTGTTTTGGTGTTCTTTCTATTTTGTATCATAGTGCAAAACATGACAGCCGTTCCGCTGTTGTCATAATATGAAACCCAGAAAAATTAACCAATGAAGAGCATTTTGAAAATATGATAAGGTTTGCCCTATTCCCTTTCTCCATGCCGTCACATATATGTAAACCCGGCAATAAATGACCAATTCCACGGGCTTACTGGAGTGCGGGTAACTGAATTACCTGGGCACTCCAGTTACGCACTGTGCATGTTTATATATACGATTTACATGCTGACACTTTTTCAACAGAAAGGCCAAAACTATGATTACAATTACCTGCTTAGGCCTATTTTTTGATATTTCGGTTACTGCCGCCGACTCTGTATTGGGACACAATGAAAATTATTATATTAAAAAAAAAATAACAAATATCTTGCCCCCAAAAAATTCTGGTTGAGTACTTGAAATACGGCGCTGAGCTAATTAATACGACTTGTCAAAGAAACGTCGACGGTAAGCTATATTTAATTAACTGATTAAAAACCTACCATATGCAGATTTATCACAAGGATTGTTAAGTACAGTTGAGATAACGCAACGTTTCTTTAACTTGGGAGAAATAGCGCACTGATCCGTCTGCTAGGAGAGGTGTAAAGTGTTTTATATTGCGTGAGTATTGATGAGAATGTGCTGGTTAATGGGTCAAGCCCATTCCATCACAGAATTAATAATTACGTCCAGTACTTCCGAGCACGAGTAACTACCTCAGATTCACAATTAGCATTTATAAAGTGTCGAAATGCGTAGAGATATACTACGTTTAGATAATCACATAAAGGAAGATAAGGGAGTTTTCCCCAATCTTTCAGAGAATATAATAAATGTCATCACCTCCGGTATTAAACCATCGGCCTCCAGGGCAATAATTAGGTCAATTATACTACTGAACATGAAAAGACCCATTACTGAAACATAAATATATACATATTATTTACAAGTAACATATTTTATATTTTCATCAGTTTACTTTCAGTTATAAAAGAATTTAAGCCAGTTTTTGTGGCACCTGCATATATTCTAAAACATAGATCTTGATATTCATTAATTTTCTCACTTCAAAAATATTACCACAATATAATAATTATAAATTTCTTAAAACTATGATATCTTATTTATGATGTATGGTCATAAATATGTAATTAACATTTCGAGGGGTGACCACAAAACTGTTGTAAGTTCTTCTTTATTTCATATAATTTACAAAAGTTGTGTGGTTAACCCTCGATTTGTTAAAGTTAGAAATCATACAGTATATTGTTTTACCATATAAAATAAACTCTGGTTTCTTCATACGCCTCACTAGAAGAAAGGGAACTAGCACAATCAATGACAACACTACCACACCAACAACTAATATCACCACTGGTTCCTGCATCCATTGTTGAGTGTTTAGAATATAACACAGGGGAAATGGTATCAATGAAATGAGGAATATAACAACCAATGCTGACATGGTTCTGCTTAATACTGTTCTCTACCTGAAAATAAAGAAATGTGTTTAAACATTATGATCCACTTCATAATTATACAACAAAATTATACAACAAAGTGGTTTTTGGGGATTCTAACAGAATTTTTTTAATAGAAAATCTTACATACATCATGATATCTCCAAGTTTAAGAGTTAACATGCTATGCTCAATACCTGATTCCATTACAGCACTGCATTCTTTCCATGTAAAATGGTTGATTTACCTAGAATTACCTCAGTGAAACGAGTAACCTGAAGTATATATAGCTGTGTTGTATCTATCCGATAGAAAGACCACTAAATAAGACAATATCTCAAGGCAGAGAACGTTTACAATTACATGTAGTTGGACAACATGTACAAGTGTAGGCAATCCGGTCAACTCGTCCCCTGGTCAACTCGTCCTCTGGTCAACTCGTCACCTTTTTGGTCAACTCGTCCCCTACCTTTGGTCAACTCGTCCTCAAAGAGTCAACTCGTCCCTAATATGGTCAACTCGTCCCCTACTTTCGATCTTTTCGTCACTATTATGTTGTAAACCAATGTCTTTAAATAGTTCTTTTATGTAAAATTAATAATGAATTTGATTGATATCGAAATATTAATAAAATAACGTCTTTTTTACGTACAATTTTAATGATCTTTATCTAAGCGCACGTGCATAGCTTTGATGTAAAACTACAAAGAAAGGTAAGTTTGCAAACATTCAATTAATGTTTAATCAATCGGATTTTCAATGTTAATTAAAACTAAAATTAGGTCCAACTCTTTGATTTTTAGATTGTATACACGGTGGCAGTCATACTTCTCATACATAAAAAAATAAGTCTTAGACAAAATTGTAGCGAATTTGAGAAATGCCTTCATGGATTCATACATCACCGCATTAAAGAGATAAATATATCTATAATAGTTGACCAGTGCCTATCTTATTGGTATTGTTATATACTTCTATTATTTTATAGGATGGCTTAGAAGACTGAATGGGAGGGCCGGGGGAACGCCTCCATTCTACCTTTTGGTTAGACTTTTGTACGATGAGGCCCAGGCAGCGGTAAGGAACTCTGAATTGGTTAGTGAAGGGAGACTTCGCCGCTACCAACGGAAAAAATACACCTTTCTCCAGGGACAGACGCACCAGCTGTGTGACAGGTACAGGAATGGGGAGTTGTCATCAACGGGACTTCTGAAAGAATTCGGGAACTTATATAAACCCCAAGAGTCGTAAGATGTCAACAACAAAAAAAAGACAATGAAATATGTGCATGCAAAAAAAATGAAAGTGAAAGTGAATATATATGACATAATATTGACAAAAAAGACATAAGTACTATATGATATTTTATCATTGCATATGAAACATATTTTTATACATTTAATGTTGTTGCTATTGATAGTCTTTGTGTTGTTTTTTTCTGTATGTAATTTAATCAGAATTATGCATATATATACTTATTATTAGAAAAAAAACTCCAAATATTCGCATACAAAAAGCGTCAAAATATGTCCAATTCAGTCATTTTATCATATATTTTAACAGTCTATAATAATTTATGGAATATATGATAAACAAATAATAATAAAATATAGGGGACGAGTTGGGGTCGAGTTGACCAGGGGACGAGTTGTCCAAGGGACGAGTTGACCAAAAAGGTGACGAGTTGACCAGAGGACGAGTTGACCAGGGGACGAGTTGACTCTGAATCCAAATGTAGTGCATACACATACATAGAATTTTCTACATGTATAAAATAATGAGTGATTTACCTTGACTTATTTTTAACTGTGGTTTCAATCCGGGAATGCATTGAAACTGGGACTGTTTCTTATGTATTAATCAACCTGGGAAATACATGTATCGATACACTGGTGATAGTCCAAAGTCTAATATACATTGTAGTTATTAAATTCTTACGCGTGTAGATATATGCATAAGCTTTTTGTCATATTGAAATTTGTAATAAACAGTAAAATCGTTATTTACCTCTGATATATGAGCTATACAATAAAGCAATATCCCAAGTCTTGTAGTTTTTACATGCAATTTTTCAAGCACGGTAATTTGTCAATCTCTATTGACAGATGGCGGGTAAAACAAGTACTCTTCAATTCTTCAATTCCATATCCGCTTTCACTTTCAGTAGTGATGTGCGTTTTTTTTTTTTTTTTTTTTTTTTTTTTTACAGCAGTCTTTATCTTTACTCGAAGAGATATCAGTTAATCGTTATATATAGGAGTGACAACAGAGCTATGACGTAGGTAAGCTTTGAGAAACGGAAGTAAAATAAAAGAAGAATTATTTTAGATTTTTGACCAGTTTTGTGACTTTAGTTTATCAGTTACAGTTGAGTTCACACTAAACTTCCCACACTTGTGCACTTCTAGTGCACTAGAGCTGAACTAGAAGTGTACACCGTGTGCACTAGACCATATGACCAGGCTGGCCAGAGAAGATGACAACTAAATCGTGTATTGGATAATTGCATATCAAGTGACAGGGGCATCCATTGTTAAGTTGTTGTAAGAAAAAAAAGTTTGGGAATATATGGCCTATTCATGAATATAAATAAGTACATTTTAAAATCAGCAGTTTTAACATTTTAGGTGATATCATGTTAAAGTTTTAAAAAATATTTTTTATTTATTGTAACATAATTATTTTTATTTACCAGTATTTAACTGTAAGTGTAAAATAATCACTGTAATGTACAACGTCCACCAGATATAGCACCTAAAAACTCTAGAAAGCTGCACACCAAGTACTACCAAGGTAATGTTTTAACTCATTTCTTCATCATAACTTTATCGATTTTTCCAAACTAAACAATATTGTGAAGCTAAATATTTCTAGTTTTAGATCAGTGATTGCTTTTGTCTGCAAATTAAATACTTTATGTTAAATTGGTGATAAATTGTCGCGTATTTGTTGACATTTGCGAACGATGTTGATATTTACCACTAAATCAAGCCCAAAACGCATTTGCTGTATCAAATTCCACCGTTAATACAAACTATAGTCATCCCTCTACTTACATTTGAGTTTCCACCCTTCAACTCAAGCTGCTTTTAAATAATTTTGCGAAAAACAGCCTTGCCTTGTGTACTGGGTGTAGTTCACCAGGTAAAGGAATGTCATTTTTTGAAAAATAAATTCTGAGTACCAGAGCATATACATGTACACGTGTGCTGAAGATTGTAAAGTGAATGATTTTGATTTTATAAAGGATAAAAGGTTTAATTAAATTGTAAACATGTTACGCAACATGTATATTAATTGCAGTAAACAGTTTCCGTCCTGCTTTAAGTTTATAGGAAAAATGCAAAACTCAAATAACCACAATTTCATTCCATATTGTAAGAACATTATGTACAGGAAATTCTATAATTTGTCTTAAACAATTTCAAACCATGTTTGAGTTATGCATTGTGAACTTAACTTGAACTAAACTTGTTATATTGGTTAATTATGTCACCGGTCTAAAGACTTCATTGAAAAACAAACATATGTTAATGTGCTTTGGTAAAATATCCGCCTTGATTAGTTAGGTTAATCATTAGATTTATCTTTGTGGAAATACTACAGTACTTGCTATAAAGTCCTTCATATTTTTTTTTTGCAGTCAAACTCGGGTGAAATCACTTGTGATTCCGATATTGTTTAATAAATACAATGCTGCCGCTTATGCTGCTGCTTTTTCTTTAAATGATTATGATGACTCTTCAATGATGATGATGTCAATGATGATAATAATGATGGTATTTTATGTTTTTAGTTCAACTATGCCATACCAATGGTAAGGTGGCTCGATAGCTCAGTTGGTTAGACCACTGACTGTCACTCCTGAGGTTCCGGGTTCGATCCTGGGTAACACCCTTGGGATTTTTCAGAAACACTTCCAGTGTTTCCCACCTAACTAGAGGTTTACTGGTACGAAACCCAGGTAATCCTCGCATGTATCAGTGCTATACACTGGGCATGTAAAAGAACCAAGGAATCTATTCAATAAGAGCTAGGGACTGGTTCCCGGATTTCCTTGTATCTCATAGCTGTCTCTAGTGTCTGCTGAGGTAAGGACCCTACTGGAAATAAGTGCTTGCACTTTCGTAGGTTATCCTTGACCGCCCGGTCTAAAGAAAATCAATCAATCAATCAATGTACAAAGTGTGCAGAGATATGAAACGTTTAAAGAATATTATTGGTATGATACTATCTTCTAAGTCGACTAATAGCTTATATAAGGCGGCTAAACTGTTTTATAGAAGACTGTGCTTATGCCGTTTGTAGAAAATGGCACTCCTGCATAATCTTTTAATCAATTTTCTACCTCCTGTCTGATGTGTGTAGGTTAGTTATACATGTATATGGTCCTTTAATCTATCCATGTTTTGTCTGAAATGAGATTATTTCCAATTAAAAATAATAAAAAGACTATACGTGAAAAAAATATGTGACTGCTAGACACCGTTCACATCTACTAAACCCTGTACATTAAACTACTACACCCCGTTCACTTAAATATGTTTCCTTTGCTAGACTCTGTACACAAGGCAGGGCCATTTTTGCAAATTTAACATTGTTAAAAGACGCTCGAGTTGAAGGGTGTAAACTCAAATATAAGTAGAGGGATGACTATAATTTGTGTTAAACGGCGAATTTTGATACAGCAAATGCGTTTTGGGCTTGATTTAGTGATAAATATCAACATAGTTCGCACATGTCAAAAAATACGCTACATGTTTCACCAAGTTAACAAAAAGTATTCAATTTGCAGACAAAAGCAAATATTGCTCTAAAACCAGAAACATTTAGCTTCACAAAATTGTTTAGTTTGGAAAAATCGATGAAGTTATGATGAAGAAATAAGTTAAAACAGCACTATGGGTGTACTCGTTGTGCAGCTTTCTACTTTCGTTTTCGGTGTTTTTAGGGGCTATATCCGTCGAACGCTTTACAACAGTGATAATACCCCTTAAAATCAAATTTATAGGATTAGTAAGGTTAAATTTAAATATGCTCTGTAATGGATAATTAAATAAGTGTTTTTTAAACTTTTTTTTAATGGCCATGTATTTCAATTTTTCTGGTGTACAAATGGGAAAATCAATGTGATTATTTTTGCCCAATTAATACCTAATCCACACATATAAAAACTTACTCCACATTTCATACATACCACCATTATATATAAATATTTATTTTCAGAATAATATATATCATTTATATTTATCTTCGTTAATTCTCAGTTTGAGAAGGTAAGAGAGATTATAAATGAGATAAAAGAGACAAAATTTAGACCAATTATAAACATATTAATTCTTTAATGTACTAAAGGCTATTAATGCTTTAAATCATTACCTTTAACTAAAACAACCATAAGTTAAGATAAAAAAAATAACTAATTGGTATGATTTGCCCTCCCCCCACCCACCCCCCCCCCCCCCCCCCCCCCAAAAAAAAAAAACAACTAACAAAGAAACAAACAAAAATTAAACAGACTGAATTTTATTTAATTAGCATTTAATGTGTCATATTCATTACCAGATTATAATAAGATAGAATCGTATTAAATATCAATTGATTTTGTTTATTAATATGCACTTATCAACATTAAAGTTATTATTATTTATATTCACTTATTCTAACAATTAAGTTTTAAAGTACAAAATCAGTAAAACTATTGACTTTGAAAATTTATTGTTCTAATATTTTACCCCATATTTTACAAATCCAATATTCACATCTTCAAATTTATTATGAAAAACTATTATACAGATATCTATATTTATCTATCTTTTTGTAAAAGGCAAAAAATGAAAGGTAACTGCTTAATACATGTACATATTATAGGTCTAGTGCACATCTAGTGCACTTTGTGTAACCTTTAGTGTGAACTCAACTGTATTTTGTTATTTCTCAGTTGATTGTTATTGCTATAATAATCACGTTTTATTCTCTTAGATCTCTTTATTAGATCTTTGATTTTTTTAATTCATATTTCATTTAACACGAGTCTTGATTGGAAATAAAAGTTATTCAATTCTATTCTGTTCTATTCTATTAAGTGTCTGTTTAGGAAAAAATGTAAATGTTTGTTGTATAAAATTGCCATTCGTTTTGTTTACAGTAAAGGATATATCTGGATAGAAAGGTTACTACCTGTATATGTGTATCTGTTTTTGAATAACATTTGGTGTTGACAAGGTTAGTTGTTGATCATGTATGTGGATACCACAGACCAAGTTAATGAACTACACCAAGATGATGAGAATTGTTCAGTGCTACAACTTAACTACAATCACATAAATGAATTAACCGATGATGACATGAATTCAAAAGCCTTCCAGAATGCAAAATGTTTGTATTTAAAGAGGAACAACATCAAAACTTTGGTGAGAATTCATTAATGTAGTATATGGCATGCAAAGTATGTGTGTACGGGATTCCACTTATACTTGTTATAGGGACTTATATATGGTCATTTCTTTTGTTATTTTATTATGTGGATTAATTTAGAGGGCCATTGCCAAACATCTATGCTTCCATATACCCATATTGCCTTATACTCCATTTTCCATATTAAGTGGATAAGAGGGCCATTGCCAAAGATCTATGCTTCCATATACCCATATTGCCTTATACTCCATTTTCCATGAGACCGCCTCCGTGGTCGAGGGGTTAGAGTCGATGACTTCTAATCCAGTTACCTCTCTGGCGTGGGTTCGATCCCCGGGAGATGCTTTGGTAGTTTAGCGCGGAGGAAGGTTGTCTAGTACTGGTGTAACTCTCCAGGAACGATGGTTAGGAAACTACCCGCCTATATGACTGAAATACTGTTGAAAAAGGCGTAAAATGAAACAAACAAACAAAAATCCATTTTCCATACTTTTCAAATAGCTCCAAATTGCATTGCCTTATTTTCCGTATTGCCTTTTTTTCTGTATTGCCATACTTCCTTTCTGTACTTTCCATATTATAGTACTCCCCATATTGCCATACTTTCCTTATTGTCATACTCACCATTTTGCCTTACTCCATATATTGCCATACTCACCATATTGCCTTACTCCATATATTGCTATACTCACCTTATTGCCATACTCTTCTTATTGCCATACTCACCATATTGCCAAACTAACCATTTTGCCATACTATCCATATTGCAATACTGTCTTTATTGCAATACTCACCATAGTGCCATACTCACCATATTGCCATATTCCCCATATTGCCCATATTGCCATACTCCCCGTATTGCCACACCCCCATTTTGCAATACTTCCCCTTTTCCATTCCTTCAATACTGCCATACTCCTCACATTGCCATACTTTCCTTATTGTCATACTCACCCATCTGCTGCCTAACTTAGCAACCAGAATTATGATTCTGAAAATTTTAAAGCAAATTAATTGGATAAACTGGCATTTATCAAAATGTTTTGTAAATTTTTTAAACAAAATCTGCAATCAAATTACTCTTCAATTGTAGTTCAGTAAACTTTAACAACTAGTTAAGTTATAAAATGATGTGATATCCAGGATACTGTATTTGGGTATATATTAAAGTTCTGAATGTAAAGATTGTCAAATGAATTTATAGTTCTTTTGTTATTTCAGCCAAAGAGCATAAAGTTAATGATAGCACTGACACAGTTGTAAGTATTTTAAGTCTTACATTTTATTTTAAATCATTCTAAAATCATTTAAATTATTGCTAAATTCTAAGCGCCATAGTTTTAAAATTTACAAGGTAATTAGCATTTTATGGTATATCAATTGTTATCATTGCTCAAAGCATACTGAAGGCAACAATTTATCATTGTTTAAGGCATATAGAAGGCAACAATTGTTATCATTGTTTAAGGCATATTGAAGGCAACAATTTATCATTAAGGCATATTGAAGGCAACAATTTATCTTTAAGGCATACTGAAGGCAACAATTTATCATTAAGGCATACTGAAGGCAACAATTTATCATTAAGGCATACTGAAGGCAACAATTATTATCATTAAGGCATACTGAAGGCAACAATTTATCATTAAGGCATACTGAAGGCAACAATTATTATCATTAAGGCATATAGAAGGCAACAATTTATCATTAAGGCATACTGAACGCAACAATTTATCATTATTTAAGGCATATAGAAGGCAACAATTTATCTAGTCTACCAGATGAGATTGGTGATTTAAAGTTACTGGAAGTGCTCAATGTTGTATCTAATGGTTTGACGAGCATACCACCTAGTATTGGTGAACTGAAAGGTCTTAAAAAGCTTCAGATATCTATGAACAAAATAAGATGCCTTCCAAATGGTAAGCTATGATTATACATTATAGATACAAGGGTTAATGAGGTGTGTCACCGTGTGTAACATAGTACACTTTATCTGACATAATGAAACAAATAATGTAATAATATTAAGACATGGTTGATATAGAAATCTGTATGCACTGCATGCTGAGAGTTCAAATCCTGTCAGGTCTCAACTTGGGCTTCTTTTTTGTGAAGAAACTGTCCATCTAGTTTACAGAGTCTGTGGTTCTACTCAGATACCAAATGATGTCTGAAAGAGGAAGGTAGCTGGGGTTTTCCTCCATTAATTAAATTGAAAGTTGCAATGTCACCTTAACTGTAATGATGTAACTTAAGACCAAAAAGTTAGATATAATTATAAGGAAATTTAAAAGAAAAAGATTAAGCTAATTTCAGTGCTATTTTAAAGGTTTTTAAATGTCAGGTCATTTGTTGCTATTATAAACTCGTCGGCTTAAATAATCAGAATCATTCTGATTCATTATAAAATAATAATGCAATTATCTTTACTCTCATGATTATACAAAACAAACAACATTTGCCACCTTAATATGAGTCAATAAAATTTAAATTTAAAAGTTTATTTTTTTCTTAATTATTTGACTAAAACTAAACACCAATGACCTTGTTCTTACTACCACATTGACCTTGAAATGACCTTGACCTTTTTATTACAGAAATTGGAAACTTACAGTGTTTGGAGACATTGGAGGCTTCTAGTAATAATTTGTTTAGTGTACCTGTCAGTCTTATAAACTGTACACAACTAAAACTGCTAGCTCTTGATAAGAATAGATTGAAGTTGTTGCCAAGGCAACTTTGCAGATTGAAGAAACTTACAGAACTTTCATTAGCCGGAAACCAGTTGGAATATCTTCCGCCAAGTAAGTAGTGAATTAAGTATAAAAAATAGGTATGTGTATTAAGCATCATTATTATTTATAGAAATTAGATTGTGGACAGATCTAGTGTATGGGACAGATCTAGTGTATGGGACAGATCTAGTGTATAGACACTTGTAGTGTTTCAAACTTGTGCGGTATAATTATCATCTTGAAAGTCTCTAATTATCATGCTAGTGTAGTCCAAGTGCACATAAATATGTTCATGCTAATTAAAGACTTGAATTAATTCAAAAAAAAATGTGGTACAATTTTTCAAAATATTTCCATAGACAAAGTTATTTTGATGCGATTTTGTTGAAGTTCATAGACTGAATACAAAGTCATGTGAAACAATTCTTGTGAAATGTTTTCATTGACTACGAATATATAGAGGATATTTGTTTAGTTCAGTGTAAGATAGGAATATATTTCACCGAGTGAGCACCAAAAGGTATATTTTACGAGTGGTGCAGCCACGAGTGAAATATGAACTTTTGGTGTTCACAAGGTGAAATATATTTCGATCTTACACTAAACTAAACAAATTTTCTTTTTATTATATGCAAAGAAACGTTTTAAAAAGACATTTAACCTAATACTGAATGATAAGCGCGCCAAATAATAATACAACGTGACGTCATTTACGACGTCACATCATTAAGTTGGTACCCAGTTCTGTGCACGCTGGTATTTCACTGAAACAACGTAAGGGGCTTAAATTCAAAACAGTGAAATTATCAAAGTGGTAATTTCACTGTTTCAAACAGTGAAATTACCAGTTTTATATCACTGATATATTTCTATAAACCACCGAAAAGCATGTAATAAATAATATTTATTTCTGGCATATACCGGTATGTTAAAATACAGTGACTGAAACATTTGCATTTTACTGACTAAAATAATATAACTAATGATATTTGTAGTGTAATAACTTTATTAAATTGATAATAAATCGTATAATTATTTGTATCGTTCTAATTGAAAATATAATTTATTTGCAGTGATATTTCATGACCTGTCGTCATTAGGTAATCTTGTGATAGACCAGAATCCTCTAATAACAGTGTACCCACCACACCCGGGAAATATTGAGATCAGTCACTTTGGGTAAATATATAATACTGTGTATTTTTACATTTATAGTGTAATTGTACATTATACGATTTACTGTTAAATCAAACAATTTTTATTAGGGCTTGAATTTTGCTTATTTCTAGAATTGAAAGATTGTTAAGTATATAATATATAACTTGGCAATAAGCCAAAAAAAAAGATTTTATCTGAATTGTCAGTTTTTTTGCTTAACTATTCAAAGAACTAATGTACAAACCACTGTGTTGGCATCGCCGTCACACTTTGGTCAAGATTTGTATGCGCAAGTTGTATCTCGAAAACTGCTGAAGGGAAGGGGTTGAAACTTCATACACTTGTTTTCTTCGATTATCTAACATGAAAGGCACATTTTCTATAAATTATGAGTTACCTTTCAACAGTGTTATGCCCCCTTCCTTACTCTAAAGTGTTGAAAATAATTGAGCATGCTGTCTTAGGGACAGTACTTGTTATGTTATCAGTGTAGCCTGAATTTATACTCCTCACTCTAACTTCATATTGTATTTATATGTTACAGAATATCTCGCATAGATGGTAGGGATAGGGAGAGATTTCAACATTTGATCATCCAAGGAAAGACAATTTCTATGCCTGAAGAATTTTCTGAGTTGTGTAGACCAGGAAAGAGTAGTGTCCCCTGTCTTCAGGAACTAACTCTGAGGTCATTTCATGCAAAACTGGATTTACAGTCTGGTAAAAATTAAACATTGAATTATTTTAACCCTTTACTTCATATAGAAGTGTTTTGACGGCTTTCCGCCTCCCCACTTCTTTGAGGCCTCAAACAGTGAAAAAAAGACCTATTTAGGCCCCTAACACTGTTTTTTGTTTGAGAAATGTTAATAAAAAAAGTGATCACTTTTTCAGCGCCGCTCCCTATCAAAAAGGTACCTCAGGGGGTTGCCAGATGGGGGATGTGCTCCCTTCTGTTTAGGGGGTTTGAAAGGGGGGCGGTTGGCCCCCTCATCACCAAGGAAATCTTGGACATGTGACAGGCTAAAAATGTCCTCAGGTTGATCATAAGGTAACATGTTATAAACGCTGAAAAGCATTTTACTCTATCTCAATCCATTAAGAAGTCACAGCACTTTAAAATCAGTTTTGATGTTGTTATACCGTGGGGGGCTATAATGGATTTGCTTTGTCGCGTCAGTCCGTCCGTCCGTCTCCATTTTCTTGTCCGCTCTATAAATCCTATACCAATTGAAGGATTTTCTTGGCTCAAATGTTCACCTTAACAAGGGGATGTGCAGAACCCATGTTGCCCATGTGTCAGCTCAGGGTCAGGTCATAATTGAAGGTCAAATATCAAATAATCAAATATTAGACAGTATGTCGTGTCCGCTCTGTAAGTCCTACACTAATTGATAGATTTTCTTCAAACTTGGCCCAAATGTTCACCTCAACAAGGGGATGTGCAGACCCCATGTTGCCCATGTGTCAGCTCAAGGTCAAGGTCACAATTGAAGGTCAAATATCATACAATCAAATATTAGACAGTATGTCGTGTTTGATCTGTAAGCCCTACACTAATTGAAAGATTTTCTTCAAACTTGGCTCTAATGTTCACCTCAACAAGGGGATGTGCAGAACCCATATTGCCCATGTTTCAGCTCAAGGTCAAGGTCACACTTGAAGGTCAAATATCAAACAATCAAATATTAGATAGTATGTTATGTCCGCTCTGTAAGTCCTACACTAATTGAAAGATTTTCTTCAATCTTTGCTCAAATGTTAACCTCAACAAGGGGATGTGCAGAACTCATGTCACCCTTTTGCTGGCTTAAGGTCAAGGTCACACTTGAAGGTCAAAAATTGATTTAGAAAATATTCTTAAATTTTAACATGTTTTGAATATTTCTGAAACTAGAAAAGGTATTTGCTTGAAACTTAAAATATAAATGATGTGTCACAATTAAGATATGCAGGTCAAGTTTCATAACTCTGTATTGCATTTTAACAAAGTCATGCCCCTTTTTAAGTGTTCAAATTCACATAAAATCAAATATTAGACAATATGTCGTGTCCGCTCTATAAATCCTATACTAATGGAAGAATTTTCTTCAAACTTTACTCAAATGTTCACCTCAAAAAGGTTATGTGCAGAAACCATGTTACCTTTGTGCCGGCTTAAAGTCAAGGTCACACTTGAAGGTCAAAATTTGACTTAAAAAATGTTCTTAAATTTTAACATGTACCGGTACATGAATATTTCTAAAACTAGCACAGGTATTTGCTTGAAACTTAAAAGATACATGAGGTGTCACAAATAAGATATGCAGGTCAAGTTTCATAACTCTGTATTGCATTTTGACAAAGTTATGCCCTTTTTTAAGTCTTTAAATTTACATAGAAGCAATACTAGACAATATGTTGTGTCCGCTCTATAAATTCTATACTAATGGAAGGATTTTCTTCAAACTTTACTCAAATGTTCACCCCAACTGGGCAATGTGCAGAACCCATCTTACCCTTGTGCCAGCTTAAGGTCAAGGCCAAAATTGAAGGTCAAAAATTGACTTAGAAAATGTTTAGTTCATTGGAAAAATGAAAGGTTATTTGTAACTGTTTCGAACATGATTTGACAATATACATTTATACTATTACCTGTACAATTTGTCTTTTTTTCACCAGAGATAATTTCTTTTTATGTATATGTATTTGTGCCACTAAAGTTATTCCCTTAACCACCTTTCCAAGTCGTCTTCTGTCAAGGACATTGGTGGGAATATGAATCGCATTCAGCGATAGTTCTAGTTGAAATAACTGTACACTATAAAGTTTTCAGAAATTATTATTTAACAAGATATGTATTCTTTCTAAATGAATAAATTCAATAAACAAAGCTTCTGTTTTAGTATATTTAATGGGAGGCAACTAATACATAAATGATTTTTAAACCTAACATAGTTAACCCCCTTTGGAGTACATTTAATGGGAGACTACTAATACATTAATGACTTTTAAGCCTAACATAGTTACTCCCCTTTGGAGTATATTTAATGGGAGACAACTACAATACACAAATGACTTTTAAGCCCAACAGTAGTTACTTCCCTTAGTTAATTTTCATTCTCACTGTTACAGGTTTGATTCAGAATTTAACAAAATACTACCTGATTAATATTTTTTTAAGTAAGGATATATTTAATTAAAAAAAACATCTTTTTTTATATTTATTTGTTATCCTACTGTCTGAAAATATTTCTGTTCATAAACTTGTATTATCTAATTTTGTTGGGATTAAATTAATGCTTTCGAGGGATCACTTTGTTTCCAGATTTTTATACTTCACAATAGCAGGTGTCAAGTGCTGTGTGGCAGCTGTAAAAGGTTGCCCTGTGTTGTTATATTTTTCTGGTCCTTTAGGATCATTGATGCCAGCACTATGAAGTGTTGAGAATTGAGATCGCACAAGCTGGTGCTAGGGGGCGTGAGGGATGTTGCACTTATTCATTATCCCTAATGTACGGACTCAATCAAACAGAGTCTGCAATTTTCATGTAATTAATTATTTTGTTGGGATTAATGCTTCCGAGGGATCACGTTGTTTCCAGTTTTTTGTATAATGTATTATTTTGTGTTAAAACATAACTGTTGTTACAAAACACAGAAGTTTTTGAACACCTGATTAGTGTAATATATATACTAGTATTATGAAATATCTCTTATGATATATTTCAGGTTACTTAGAAGACCTGTTATCAGCAGATCTTGTGGACACTGTTATGTTTCCTACCAGCCTGTGTCATCATTGTAGAAAAACCTTGTTTATATCTGCATTCCCAGTTATATACAAAGAAAATAACACTACATTACTTACATCAGCTTTCTGCTGTTCTGTCAAGTGTATTGTATATCATGATTTCAAACAAGATACATTACTGTATCCACCAAGCTGATGGGTGGAGTAATATGAAGGATACCACCTAGCTGATGCCTGATGGGTGGGGTAATGTGACTGTAATCAGTTATTCAGAAAACAAGGTGCTCATTGTCTAACATTGTGATACATATGAATATTGATATCATTTTTGTAAGCATGTAGAATCCGTGATATGTTTGATATGTAAACTTTTTGTAAGCGTGTAGAAATTGTGATATGTTTGATATGTAAACTTTATGTAAGCGTGTAGGAACTGTGATATGTTTGATATGTAAACTTTGTGTAAGCGTGTAGAAATTGTGATATGTTTGATATATAAACATTGTGTAAGCGTGTAGGAACTGTGATATGTTTGATATGTAATCTTTGTGTAAGCGTGTAGAAATTGTGATATGTTTGATATATAAACATTGTGTAAGCGTGTAGGAACTGTGATATGTTTGATATGTAAACTTTGTGTAAGCGTGTAGGAACTGTGATATGTTTGATATGTAAACTTTGTGTAAGGGTGTAGGAACTGTGATATGTTTGATATGTAAACTTTGTGTAAGCGTGTAGAAATTGTGATATGTTTGAATTATAAACATTGTGTAAGCGTGTAGGAACTGTGTTATGTTTGATATGTAAACTTTGTGTAAGCGTGTAGAAATTGTGATATGTTTGATAATTTATTGCTTTGTTAAATGGGATTATGTTTCTAAGAATTGTTCTGTTATTTGATAAAAACTGTTTTCAGACAAGCATTGACATTTTTAGCTCACCTGTCACAAAGTGACAGGGTGAGCTTTTGTGATCGCTTTTCGTCCGGCGTCCGTCCGTCCGTCCGTCCGTCAACTTTTGCTTTAAATGACATCTCCTCATAAACCACTGAGCCAATTTCATCCAAACTTCACAGGAATGTTCCTTTGGTGGTCACCTTTAAAAATTGTTCAAAGAATTTAATTCCATGCCGAACTCTGGTTGCCATGGCAACCGAAAGAAAAATCTTTAAATATCTTCTTTTAAACAACCCTAAGAGCTAGAGCTTAGATATTTGGCATGAAACATCTTCTAGTGAGTGTCTACCAAGTTTGTTCAAATAAAAGCCCTGGGGTCAAAATAGGCCCCGCCCCAGGGGGTCATTGATTTTCCCAATATGCATATAGTAAAAACTTAAAAAATCTTCTTTTAAAGAACCCAAAGAGCTAGAGCTAAGATATTTGGCATGAAACATGTTCTAGTGAGTGTCTACCAAGTTTGTTCAAATAAAAGCCCTGGGGTCAAAATTGGCCCCGCCCCGGGGGGTCATTGATTTTCCCTATATGCATATAGTAAAAACTTAAAAATCTTCTTTTAAAGAACTGTAAGAGCTAGAGCTTAGATATTAAGCATGAAACATCTTCTAGTGAATGTCTACCAAGTTTGTTCAAATAAAAGCCCTGGGGTCAAAATTGGCCCCGCCCCAGGGGGTCATTGATTTTCCCTATATGCATATAGTAAAAACTTAAAAATTCTTCTTTTAAAGAACCCATAGAGCTAGAACTAAGATATTTATCATGAAACATCTTCTAGTGAGTGTCTACCAAGTTTGTTCAAATTAAAGACCTGTGGTCAAAATTGGCCCCGCCCCATGGGGTCATTGATTTTCCCTCATAATATGCATATAGTAAAAACTTAAAAAATCTTCTTTTAAAGAACCATAAGAGCTAGAGCTTAGATATTTGGCATGAAACATCTTCTAGTGAATGTCTACCAAGTTTGTTCAAATAAAAGCCCTGGGGTCAAAATTGACCCCGCCCCAGGGGGTCATAGATTTTCCCTATATGCATATAGTAAAAACTTAAAAATTCTTCTTTTAAAGAACCCAAAGAGCTAGAGCTAAGATATTTAGCATGAAACATCTTCATTGATTTTCCTTATATGTGTATAGCAAAAACTTAAAAATCTTCTTTGAAAAAACCCAAATAGCTAGAGTTTAGATATTAAGCATAAAACATCTTTAAGTAAATATCTACAAAGTTTGTTCAAATAAAAGCCCGGGGGTCAAAACTGGCCCTGCCCCAGGGGTGTCATTGTTTTTAACTATATGTGTATAGTAAAAACTTTAAAAATCTTCTTTTAAAAAACCCAATGAGCTAGAACTTAGATGTTTAGCATGAAACATCTTCTTATGGGTGCCTACCAAGTCTGTTCAAATAAACAAATAAAAGCCCTTGGGTAAAAATTGGCCCGGGGGTGGGGGGGCCTAAATACAGGTGAGCGACCTCAGGGCCATCATGGCCCTCTTGTTATAGTCAGATTTATATGTTATTTTGTTTTAAAGTTATATAACTGTTGTTAATTACAATAGGACTTATCAATCTTGAAGGTTTGTTGGCATTAGATTGAATACTTGTATTATACTGTTTTCCGTCCTAAACATTTTAGTTTTTACACTCATTTTGATCTTATTAACATTTATAAAATTTTTATAAAGATTGGGAGGGAAAATTTCAACAGCAAACTGTTAAGACCGTGATCAGTGCTGGCTCATACACTGCATGGGTGGAACTAGGTGCTGCATAAAGATCACGTGTTCAGTATGATACTGTAGGATTAGTTGTCTTTCAATGTATTCATATATATATATATATATATTATTCTAAAAACAATGTATATTTAGATTTTAGTTGTTTTAAGTGCCTTTTGCTTGATTGGTATTTATACAGACCAAAGAAATTTTATTATATTCAGAAATTTTAATTGTTTCTATAAAAGAGGTGGACAATAAAAAAGAACTCAATGGTATCAGTTTATTATGTATTTAGTAGACAGTTATAATACAATAATACTAAAATGATCTCAAAATTATGCAAAAACATGTCGCAAATGTGAAACAAACAAGATTATAAATAACAAACAAGAACCTGAGTCGCAACAAAAAATGTAACAAGTACAAAAATGACAAAATAAAGAGCTCCCTAGTGGACATTCCTGACAGCTAAGTTTACAAGATTGCAATATAAGATTGTAACATATATCTTTTACGTTGATACAAGTTTTCTTTCTTCATACAAAATAATTAATTGTACATCTATAAATTCCATATCATTCTGTTGCCATATTTTAACGCTAAAATGCATATTATTTTCACACAAAACTAATGCTTTTATTTTCAGTTACATTATTTTAACGTCATTTGTTTATAATTCAAGACAGAACATGAAAGCACATATTAACAGACTGTTGTAACAATTTTAATTCATCATAATGTTGCTGTAAGTTTAATTTAACCAATTAATATGATTGTTTATTTATATGAGTCATTTTAAAATCTTATTATAATATTTATTAAAAAAAAAATATTTACCTAATGCCAGAATGACTAAAGGGAGATAACAATATTTCAATTCTAATTTCAAACTCCTTGCAGCAGTTGCTTCCCCTGATCAGTACAGTACTTTAGATTTAGTACTTTCTTTCACTTCACGTTTCTTTCATTTCATCATACACTTTATAAATTAAGAACAAAAATTTATAGAAATAATGAAAAATAATATTTCTTAGAAATAAAGAATTACCTTTTGTAACATGATATATATGGTCAAAGCATTTTTATCATGATGGAAGTAGTTTAAGTATCAAAGCATAAAGTAACTGATACCAGAATGTTTCTCTTATTTAACATTGTATTATAGATACTGACTTATACAAAAGTGTTTCAAATGAAACATAAACAAAAATCATAATAATTTTTTACATCCTTTATCAATAACTCATAATCCTATAATATTCAATAATTTTGGACATGGGCAAGAAGTGTAAAAGTTAATTCTGTAGGGTGTAAATAAACAACAAAATATGTGAATAAAGACCTTCTTGTAAATACAAGTATAAATTCACTTATCAGAAATATTTATCCCTTAATTCATTTCCTGGTCACAAATTAACAAAATAAAGATAACAATCAATTTGATTTCAGTATTTAAAGACATTATAACAAAAATAATGTTTATAAGCAGAGATTTTATTTATCATTGAAAGAAAAATTGTATTTTTTCATCTAAATAAATGTGACTATTTATTTTTTATGCTTCACATGAGCTGTTTCATAACAACATCAGAAAGATCGTGTGTAAACATCTAAAAAATTCCTCTTATTTAAAAATGGATGAATTTTCATTATGCTTATTATTCAAAGTGATTCAGGCATTTATCAATGTCTGTCTGTTTCCAGTATTCAATGTCCTTAAATAAAACTTCACAAAAAACAAATCCAAATAAAATCTTAAAGTCAACTCATATAAGGTTGTTCTTAAAAAAAAAAACACCAAAGAATGTTTGTTGGTTTTGTCCTAAACATGAAAAATAAAATAGACTCATATTTCAGGAAAATTCTTAAAATACAAGTGAAAGTTTCAACTACAATATATAAACTTGGTAAAATACAGCTGCAATAACTGACTTAATTTCAATTTGGAATTTTTACTTTGTTAGCTTCAGAAATAATAATAATACCTTACTACGAGGGTTGTCCAAAAAATTCGTGCACTGCAGTTATTGTCGTGAGAGTTATTAATATAAACAAATGAATTATATATCACATGAAGGGGAAATCTGTCTCAAATAAGAAAACAAAAGAAAAAGCCGAGTAACCGGCGTGTCGTGTAAAAGAATGGTCATTAAGTTACCTTAGTAACGTTATACCGGCGCAAGACAAAAAATTGGGTGAGTTCATTACTGTACTTGTATTTATTGTTTGTTGTTTGTAAAGTAGCATTTGCTTTTTATGTTATAATTTGTTTTACTGTCAATAGAGGAATGATTGATGCAAAGTATTTTGTAGTTTTTATTGTTCTTATGCAACGTACATGTAACATATTCCACAAGTGCACAACTATATTGGACAACCCTCGTCACATTCGCCGGCATTATGGACGGACGTCTGCCTGACCGGTTGTCATCGTCTTCTGACTCTCGCCTTTCTACAAAGCGTGTGTACCATTAAAAAACAGCCTTCATGACACTGAACTTATCCTGCTTGCCCTTTTAAGTTCTTATTAGGTATCTGTCGGTGTTTTACCAATATTTGCACAAAATTAAATGATCGACGGTATTTCCAGACATTTAGCGACTGACATTTTCACGTAATTACAGTATTGAAGACCACACACAAATGTTCGTTTACGACCATTACTAAAGGGCAAATGACGTCATATTTTCTAGTGACCTTAGGAATAGGTACACACACTTTTCCTTGAATTTTAACGTTAATATGTAGTGTTTATAGAATACCGCGATGCGTCAAAGTAATGAACTAACCCAAGTTTTTGTCGTGCGCCGGTATTACGTTACCAAGGTTACTGTATTACGATTTGTTTTCACGACATGCCGGATACACATTTTTTTCTTTTGTTTTCTTATTTGAGACAGATCACTCCTTCAAGTGATGTATAATTCATGTTTTTCTATCAATTACTCTCACGACAATAACTGCAGTGCACGAAAG